GTAAGGTCCACATTGTTAATATCATTCTGCCCTGTGAGATGCAGGACAGGGCAACCAGTGCAAAGGAAAATGTTTATCAAGGTATTCTCTAGACAGTGATGACTTAGTTGAACTTATTGCCATTTAACCAACCAGTTATTGTCAATCTTCCCCTAGGTACTACACTGCCCTGGCCTGACACTTCCCTGCAGTCTTCCCTGCTCACGAAAAATTTTAGGTGTAGTCTCTATCCATAAGCACAGATCCACAGAAGGAAGAGATTGGCACTCAGGAGACTTCTAGTCCAGACAGAGGAATGACCCACCCCAGGATAGCACTGTCCACCTTCAATAGGGAAAGGTCAGTATCTTAGATAATTTAAAAATTTGAATGCATGCACCTGACAGAAAATAAACCCAGGCTAGTTAGCTCTGACTAAACACAAGTACTTAAAAATCCCTCCTACTGATTCCAATTTCTTAAGGAACCCCAGATGGAAGAAGTAAGAGTTCCTTCAAAGCATAGATCTTGTAAGATCAGTCATAAACTTTTTGACAGAGATAAAACTAGGTTCAGTGGAAGTGTCATCAGACTTTGTTTCTCCCCCTCAACCCAGAACATGTGTATATGCTCACACACGCGCACACGCACATTCACACACACACACATTTTTTAGGAAAGCCATCAGCATGACATGCCTCCTGAAGATTTGGGCACTTCGGTATAAAGAATACAAGTGCTCTGCACTAGGCAAGCACTGCTAAGACATCAACACCCCCAATCAACGGAAAAAAATACACCTGGGGAAAAGAAGCCAGGAAAGGGAAACGCCTCCTTAAAACAGCCTGAGGAAGACAAGCCTGAGTCAGCCTGTGCCGAAACTATTCCCCAACATCAGCCAGGAAGTCCCTTCTTTCGGTGTGCTCCATTGCCCAACAAACCCACAGCTTCCTTTGTGGAAACCAGATCTCTAGAGCTTCCAGTCCTACAAGGGGTGGGTTTGGAAAAGGGCTTCCCCACTTACTACTGCCCCTCGGGATCCATCAGTGGCCAAGCTTTCCAACACTCCCCAGTGAATGCAAATACAAAAGCTGGTAGCTGCACTGTAAGCACATATTTCCTTACACACACGCACGCACGCGCGCGCGCGCACACACACACACACACACACACACACACACACACACGACATACACTTACACATACATACCTTTCACCCTCCATTGTGTGAGGCCCAGTAGGGGTGACAGCCGCTGAACTGTGCATGCACCCAGGAATCCTAGCTCTTATCTGGATTCTCCTAGCAGCCTAGCAGGAGATCTGATCAGCAACTGTGATTCAGCATGGCTGCAACTGCAGCCTCCTCCCTCTGGATCCTCCTTCCTCTGACTTACTCCAGGCAGCTTCTACCGCAGAAGCAGCAGCAGTAGAAAATGTCTTACCCAGCGCTCCCTGCAGCCCTTTCAGCTGCTAAAAGCAGCAATCCACTTGCTCCCCCTCCCCCGCAGGCTCCTCCGTCTCCTAGGAACAGCGGCAGCTTCAGTGCCCCAAGTGCGGTGCCACCTTTCCAGCTGCCTGTGCATCTGCCCAGACATTCCAAGCCAGGGCGACCTGCCCACCCCAGGGGCTCCTGCCTTCACTGCCTGCACTGCAAAGAATCAGGCCCGTTTCTCACTAGCCTGAGAAATACTTGCCCCTTCCCCGCCCCTCCCTACAGGCTCAGTCTGTCATCCTGGCCAGATTGTTGGAATGAGGAGGCCCCTCTGTGGCCTGCAGTGGAGTTTATCCACCAGTGGAAATTCATTTGTGGGTCACAACTCATATTCCAATTTCTTCTCCCAAATTCTAGAGTAGCTCTAAGAGTTTGGAAGATGGAAAGAAGTTAGGGAAAAAGAACCTAATAGAACAGAAGAGAACACAAAGAAATTTAAAAGAATATGGAAAAAAGAAGAAATTAGAAAAACAGGTAAAATTGATATACACTATTTTACTGTAAGAGGCCAAAGACTACTGCAGCAAAGCCATCACAATGCATGCACTCAACTCCCACACTGAAAAGCCACCACTCTCATAGCACAGCCCTAAAATATCTTCCTAAATTCTATTTTGAACTGATTTAAACTATGGCTCTAACCAGTAAGTCTTTTTCTGAATCCCCATCTTCTGCTAAAGCTCATATTCTGTCATTGCCAGCTGCTGAGTTTCCATTTAGACTCATTTAACTCCCTACCTGCAATGATTTCTCCAGTTTCAACCCTGGCATTTTTCTGGAAGGGTAGTCAAATCCCAGGTTCTTCACAGAATTTCCTCTAACCCTACCCACACCTAGTCACTTCTACCCAAGTACCCTAACTACAAAATGTATTGTTCTGTTCCTCCTACACCCAATATATTGTCTACGGCAATTTATTGTTTGTCTTCTGCACTGAAGTATAACCTTGCAAAAGGCAAAGAGACATAAACTATGTCTCTAGCCACAGCTTAACAGGCATAAAGGTAATGAGGTGACTAGCTACAAAAAGGTGACCCAGGGTCAGGGATATAGCTTAGTGGCACAGCGCCTGCCTGGCAAGTGCAAGGTCCTGAGTTCAATTCTCAGTACCAAAAATAAAAAACAAAACAAAAGGTGGCCCAGAAGGTTGATGCCTCAATATAATTAGATATGAGCATCTCTATTCTAGGGCTCCTCGGTGCCATACAGTAAATGCATGGCGTTTCAGGATCCACCCTAGCAGCTGCTGGCTGAGCAGCCCTGACTTAGCTAATCTTCCCCACACTCTGGGCTCTGGGCTCTGAGCTCACACAGTCCCACTCTCACAAGATGTGTTCAGACCACGCTCCAGAGTCCCTTTCTGCTCTAAAACCTCGGCATTCTAGGAGCCTGAGGCAGTTCATTCAGAAGTTCTAACACAGCCTGGGTAATTTAGTGACTTAGTAAGTCTCTGTCTCAAAAGTAAAAATAAATAAATTTTCAAAAGGTTCAAACACTAGGGGTGTAACTCAGTGCAAAGGTCCTTGTTTCAATCCCTAGTATCACAATTTAAAAACACACACCCTTGATTCTAAAAAGATTTCAAATGTCTCCTTTTTTTCCTCAGCATAATGTGTGTGAATTTTTAAGAAATATTTGTCTAACTGTAATCGTTGGTGGGGAGCTTGAGAGAGAGCAATACAATGTTTGTGAAAGTATGAGAGATGATACCATTGCGATTATAATTTTGACCTGTTAAATTTCTTCGCTCTTATAAAGTGCTAAAAACATACAGTGGAGGGATGAACACTAAGGTAACAGAATGAAAAGTAAATTTTCATAAATTTGACATAACTTTCTGAACTCAAAGGAGCCAGAGTGCTCCACTCAAAAGATTACCTTCCCTAACTCTGCAGTCTCTCTGAAATGAGAAGAGGCCTGGGCAATTTTATCAACATGCCACAGCCCAGTCTCCTCACTTTTTCCTTCCACAACAACAGTCCTCATAATTTTCTCCCTCTCTGTCCCTTCCTCCTCTAATCAGTTTTGTAGCTCTGCTCCAGATATTTCCTCTTGAGGTCACTTGCAGGGACCACAAGAAGCTGAATGCCACAAATAAGGAAGCTGAATCTCAGCATCTGTGCCCGAGTGCAGCGACCCACCAGGAAGCAGCTGGGTGATTTGTAAGGGGACATAACACGAGATGACTCATCTCTTGTAAATACCTTCATTCACATCTTCTTCACCATACAGGAAAGGGGGAAACGCCCTATCTAACCAGAAAAAGAAAACAGTTCAGACAGGGAATATTTAACATGGAGCATATTTCAATTTCAAAACACAATTATTAAAGCCACAATAAAAAATAATTATTAGAACTAACATAAAAATGTTCACAGAATTTCCTTTCAATCCTACTTTTGTCATACTAACTGATGTCACTACAGTGTGTCAAAATTATCCTGCTACCACCTGTCACCTTATTTACCACTCACTATCCATGAATGAGGGCCGGGGTTGGAGGGATGGCAAAGCTGAGCCAAGAGTCAAAAATAACTGGCCTCACTCAAATCTTCTCTGGTTCCAGAGCTACAGTTTATATTTTCTACCTTACCCAATTGTTCTCAGAGTCAGAACTTGAACCTGTGTGCGATAGGCTAGTTTTTCTGACTGAATGTGAGATTAAGGAGAATTACTGTTAGATCCTCACAGACAAGAATGGAAGGAACCCAAGTGCTGTGCGCCCCAAGGAAAAGGCCTCAGCTTTACACTGCCCAGTAGCAGCACCCACACCTCAGCCTAGTTCCCACCCACTCTCAGGCTCCAGCTGCAAGCTGCCAACTCTTATCAGGTGACTCCAGATTGCCATTCCAAAGCAATTTATCCAGCCATGGACACCAGTTTAATTCAAAATCCTTCAACTCTTAACATTGTCTGGGAAGAAACCATTTAGAGGAGAAACTTTGTTTTTTTAAACAAGGCTTGTTCTACAAAGTTCTTTCTTTCATATTCCTTCTCAGCACAGGAATGCAGTAAAACACAGTTTATCTGGAGACAAAGAAGTCAATCATTTTCAAGAGTGCTTATGCTTCTTTTCTGGCCCAAACCCTCCTTCTCCAAGGGTTCAATTCCTACATTTGAAATCACCGTGCCACAGTATAGTGGTCCCATATCCAGCTGTGCATTAGAACCATCTGCTTAGCAGGTTGAAGATACAGGCATTAGGAAACCAAAAGGCACAAGGAAAGTTTCTAGAGTTAAGGAAATATTCTATATCTTGCCTGTGACAATACTGACATGACTGTATCCAACTGCTAGTGTTTTTTCAAACTGTACACTTAAATATAAACTTTATGCAAGTTATGCCTCGGTAAATACAAGAAACCCAAAAAACTTCAAGGTCTACCTCAAACCTGTGGACTCTGAGACCAAACATAGGAATGTTAATATACTTCATAGGTGACTGTAATACACAGCTGAATGCAAAGACCACCTAGAACCATGAAAAGTGCACAATTAGAATCACAAGGCACAGTCCAAACATACTTACCAGCAACATGACTCTAGGCAAGTTACCTTGCAAGCCTCAATTTTCTTCCTGTAAATAAATGAAAATTAATTACTTTCCAGGGTTGTTAGGTTTAAATGTGAAAGTATGTAAAGCACTTAGCAGAAAACTAGGCCTATGATAAGCACCATGGAGCCAATAGCAGCCATTCTTCTCATTGTCTATGTGAATGCTGCACAACTGATACCTTAAAACTCTATAAACCTTTGGGGGCTTGGAATCAAGGAAAACAGTGCCAGGGAAGGGCCTTCCCTGGAGCCAGTCACATCTCCAAAGCAAGGACTAGGTGAGAGCCAAACAGTCCCACCATCATATCAGCAAGGACTAGGTGAGAGCCAAACAGTCCCACCTCCACCTCCACCACCAAGACTTTCCCTCAGGTTAGGAACCACTCACTCACTCTTCCTCTAACTGCCTGCTTAGTGGCCTGAGAAAGCCAGGCAGAAAATGAAAACGTTGATCTCTTGATGATTACTATTCTTTCTGGAGATGGAATGTCAGTGTTGACATTTACACTTTAATTAATTTACACTTTAATGTACATTAATTTTAATTTACAGGAGTTTTATTGTTTGCTTGTTTTGGTCTTTTTCTTTTTTATCGGTACCGGGGATCAAACTCATGACTGCCTGCTTGCAAGGTAGTTGCTTATGCCACTGAGCTAAATCCCCAGCCCCTAATTTACAGTTTTTAATGGCTAGCAATATTGAATTTTTTTTTCATGTATTTGTTGACTGTACTTCATCTGAGAAGTGTCTTTTCATTTCAAATGCCCATTTCTGGACTGACTCTTTAAATTTGGGGGAGGGTCTGGTTTTAATTCTTTATATATCCCAGGTAATAACTTTCTGCCTGAGAACTAGCTAGCAAAAAGTTCTCCCCATTCTGAAGGTTGTCTCTTCACACTATTGGTAGCTTTGCTGTGTAGAATCTTTGTTATTCAGTTTTGGTTTTGGCTTTCTGAGACAGCATCTCATTATGTAGCTTAGCCCAGCCCTAAAGTCGCAGATGATTCTCCTGTCTCAGCCTCCCAAGCGATAGGACTATAGGCAATACACTGCCACACTCAGCCTGTGCTGAATCTTTTTAATTTGATGTGACTCCCTATTTGTTGATCCTCCATATTACTTCTTACACAACTAAGAATTTGTTCAGATAGTCTTTGCCTACACCTGTGTCCTCAAAAGTTTTACCTATTTTCTTCCATCAGATTAAGTAGTTGTTTTAATATTTATCTTTGATCCATTTTTGTGTTAGTTTAGTGCATTGTGAGAAATATGGGTCTAGATTCAATCGCTGTCATTATTCCCAGCACCATTTGTTAAAGAGACTATGTTTCCTCTACAAAAGTATTTGGTCCCTTTGTCAAAGATAAGATAGCTGAGTGTGCCTGAAGTTCTCTTAGCATCTTGTTCCCCTTCCCATTTGAAAAATCTTCTGTTCTGATTCACTGATCCACAAGCGTTGTTTTTTGCCAATCCATGCTGTTCTTATCACTGTAGCTTTGTGATATAACTGAGGTGTAGGGTTGTGATGCCCCCCACACACACCTAACTTTTTGTTGACCAGAATTGCTTGTGCTAGCCTAGGTCTCTCCTGTCTCAAATTTTAGGATTGTTTACTCTAGTTCTGTGAGCAATGAGTATTTTGATTGAAACTGCATCAAATCTGCATAAGTTTTGGCCATTTTCACAGACATTGGTTCTACCTATCCTGGAAGAGGGGATATCTTTCCAATTCCTGATACCTTCTTCTGTCTCCTTTTTCTGAGTACTATAGGTACAGGGAAAAAAAGGAATCCTTCTCCATTGTCAATGGGAGTGTAAACATGTACAACCACTATGGAAATCAGTATGGAGATTCCTCAAAAAGCTAAAACTAGAAATTCCATTTGATTCAGCTATCTCCCTTTCTAGATATCTTTGAAAGAGGCATCATATGACAAAGATAGATGCAAACCCATGGCTACAGCAGCACAAGATAAATCTTGGAAATAGTCCATATGCCCATTAACAGATGAATGGATAAAGTAAATGTGGTATTTATATCCAAAAGAATACTAATGTGCCATAAAAAAGGATATACTTGGGAATTTTAAGGTAAATGGATGTAACTGGAGACCATAATCTTAAGTGAAGTGTTTAAGTATCACAATGTCTCTTATGTGAGATACCCAAAGAAAAAAGGAGGAAAAAAAACTTAAAAGTAGAAAACCTTTTTCAAATGGGAAGGGCAACAAGAGATGGAGGGAAGGGAAGGGAAGGAAGGAAAATAAATTTTCTTTAAAAGTTGAAAAAACTGGAAACAGCTTCTGCAATTGGGGAGGAGAAAAAGCAGGTGGGAGCAGGAAGGGAGAGAAAGGGAAGGGGATAAAAAAAGAATTAAGATGTGTTACGTACATGTATAAACTTCCCACAATGAATGTGATCATTATGTGCTACAAATATACTAATGAAAAAATAGCAAAATTTTAAAAAATAAAAGGAACTTCAGGCCTCCAAAAATCAAAAAGTAAACAGAGCAGCACATTATCCAGAAGAATATCTGGCTTATGACTTTTCCTCTGAGAGTGAAAAATCCATGACCAGAGATTCAAATGTAAATCATCTATGAGCATTTGTGTGGCACTTTTAAGCTTACAAAATGCTTCTCACCCATTATCTCCTTTGATTCAAGGTAACATGCCCCAAATAGTAATAACTCCCACTTACTTGAATACTTCATCTAGGTCAGGCCTTGAACTCACTTTCTACGTACCACTCTTCATTTAATGTTTACAGTCCTGTGAGGATGTTAACTATGGGAAAACTGTTGTCCTGAGGGTTAAATAAACTTCCTTAAGACCCCACAGAAGGTAAACAGCAAAGCTGGAATTTGAACCCAGGCTTAAGTGACTTCAGAGCCCACTGTTAGCAAATCTACACAGCAGGCACTACCCCTGCCTTACCACCTCTGTTTTAGATAAACTGACTGAAACAGAAACAGAAAGCACCTCGCTCAAGACCATTGACCCAAGCTAGATGTGGGCTGAGACCCTTAGATGCCTGGCCTAACACCCTTTCCATCTCACCCCTAGATAAGGAACAAGAGTATTTGGACCTCTAAAGATATTACATGCAAGATGGTAGCTGAGGCTTCCAAACATCTATCATAATACAATCTTCCGGTCATCTAGATTACCAAACAGGCCTAGCCAAAGACTGCTCTTAAGGAAAACCAGAGGAACACTACTGGCCCTCAAAACAGTCAGAGATTAGACCAATGATAACAGCATAAGAGGGCCTTCAACGCATTCCAATCACTAAGAGTTTCCATTTTCTCCTAAATCTGCAATCCCACAGCTGGTGCCCTCTGCTGGCGAACACATATATCTCTTCTAAACAACAACAAAAAAAACCTCATTTCACACCAAGGATTTAGGGAGGCAAAAATAAATGAACAAAGAATGAATCAATAAAACCTTGCTTCTTTCACATTCTATTCAAGACTGAGCATTAATTTTTACAGCTCTTCCATATATGCATGCAATTTTAAACCGACTGCATTGATACTGTCATCCATCTGCTGCCTTTGACTTATCCCCTTCAGTTCTTTTCAGCTGCAAACCAAACTAGGCTGCTTACATAAAAATACAGATGACACACAGCCCCAAAGTCAAGAATACAATGAGCTGGCTGCTGTGCCTGTAATGCCAGCATTCAGGAGTCTGAGGCAGGATTGCCGCAATTTCAAAATCAGCCAGGTCTACGTAGTTTGCTCAAGTCTAGCCAAGCTCCATAGAGATCCTGTCTCAAAACAAGCAAGCAAACAAACAAAAAACAATGGTAACAATGTATGCATCTGTGATTGTGACTAAGGCCAGGTCTGTACAGCTAGCAAGCATGTAATTGGGGAGGTACATGCTTAAAGTCACGTGAAACCCATATACAACTATGCACAGGAATTCCGGTAGTGCTGTGTACACTAGCATGCGTATAGTTTGGTCAACTTGTTGAATATCTTCTATTCTGTCTATGCAGTGGAGTGTACCAGGAAGCTACAACATAAATCTTATGTGAACCGAATGCAAAATAAAAAATAAAACATTCAAGTGCAGAAAAGGTACTATGGGAGCTCAGTAGGAGACAATTTCAAGTTTGGGAAAAAGGAGGACACAAAGAACAGAAATAGGATGGAGAACTTCATAATTCTGTAGCATTTTAAAAAGAGCATTTGCAGCTGTAAATATTGCAACTAGATAACTTCAATCTCTCATTTCATTTAAATTTTTAAAGATATAATTTTAATCCTACTACTTTAATATATTTACATACATATTACATTTTTATTGTAGTAAAATATACATTAAATTTGCCATTTTAAACTTTTAATGCATGGTTCATTGGTAGTGTAAGTGGGTGCCACTTTTGCCCATATTCATTTCCAGAACTTTAACATCCCCAAAACAGCTCTGTCCTCCTTAAACAGTAACTCCCTATTGCCTCTTCCCTCCAACCTGTTTCAACCTCTGCTCTTTTGTTTGAACCCAGGGCCTTACCCCTGCTAGACATGTTCTCTACCCCTGAACTATATCCCCTGCCATATTCCACTTTCTATGTCTATGAACCTGTCTGTCCTCATGTAAGTGCAATCAATCAAAAATTGATCATTTGGGTGAATGAATAAAGAATGTAGCCTTTACACCCAACGAAAAACTACTCTGCCAGAAAGGAAGATAAACCTGTCATTTGTAAGAAAATAGATGCACTTTGAGACTATAATGTTAAGTGAAATAAATCAGATACACGAGTTTAAATACCAGTTTCTCTCATATGAGCTCAAATTATAAAGAGCAAAATAAAAGATATACAATGGTAAGTAGCAGAATAGCTCTTTCTCAGATGGGAAGGGGATTAAGAGCTGGAGAGAGGAGAAAAAGGGAAGAAAAGGGGAAGGAGAAATTTGGATGTGTTATGTACTTGTACCAACTCCACACAAGGCCCATAAACATGTACAGCAAGTAAGTACTAATAAAAATGGATTAATAAAAATCTGAACATTTTGTGTCTGGCTCATTGCACTTGGTAAATCTTTTTTTCAAAGTTCTATTTTCAAATTTGTGTTGTAGCACATTCCAGAATTTCATTTCTTCTTATATGTAACACTCCACTGTACATTTTGTTTACCCATTCACCTGTTGATGGACACTGTTGTAACACTTTAAAGATGAGAGGAACTCAGCACATCATACTCTGCATCTCAGCATAAATTGTGGAATACCCCTGCCGCTTTCTCCACACAATCTATGTACTGCTGTCTTCTATAACATTTTCCTTGATCCACAATGTTGGTTTGTACCTCATAATGTCCCCCAAAAGTCTCATGTAGAGGCAGGGCTTTCCAGTGAATGGATGATGGAGCACTACACTTACCAAATTAATCCACGGCTGGAAGGTGGGGCCTAGTTGGAGGAGGTGGTCACAGGGGTGCCTTTGGAGGTTGCTCTCTTGCTCTGGTTACTTCTCTGCTTCCTGGGATTGAACAGCAGTTTTCCTCTGGCCATAGACAGTAACTTCCAAAACTTGTGAGCCAAACTAAACCTCTCCTTAAACTGTGGGTGCCAACCAGCAGAAGAACAAAACACAAGAGTAAAGAGACAGCCCATAGTGTGAGAAAACAATGTTGCCAGCTGTTCCTCAGAAAAAGGACTAATACCTAGAACAAGATCTCAAAAAAATCAGGAAACCCCCCCCCCAATTTAAAGACCCACTTAGAAAATAGCCATTGGAATGAACAGATACCTCAGATGTAGTAGTACAAACAGCAAATAAAATATATGAAAAAATGTTCAACATCATTGGCCATTCAAGAGATGCAAATTAAAATGCTGATTGCATCTCACTCCAGAGAGCAAGCCAGCCAGTGTAGTGGTACATTCATAATCCCAGAGGCTGCCTCAGAAGCTCAGTGAGTTTGAGGCCAATCAAGGCTGCATAAGCAAATTCAAGTCTGGCCTGTACTACACAGTGAAAGCCTGTCTCAAAAACAAAGAGAAATCAGCTACATGACCAATGCTGGTGGAAGTATGGGGGAAAAGAACATTTTTCCAGTTACTGGAAGGGCAGACTGGTACAACCACTGTGGAAATCAGTGTGGGGATTTCTTAAACTAGAACTAGAGGTTCTATTTCCTTTCTTGGTTATCTTCCCAAAAGAATTATTAGTGTCATACACAGCTACAGCAGTCTGTAACAGCTAAATTTGGAAACCGCCCAAATGCCCACCAACTGATGAACATATAAATATGTGGTTTGTCATACACAGGGTACTTACCTTGACATAAAAAGCTTGAGACATTTCTAGCTAAATGGATACATCTTGGGACTATTTTAAGTGAAATAAATCAGACACACATTTAAAAACTGCATTGTTTCCCTGATGTGAGAAACCAAAAGGCTAAGGACCAAAATGTATAACAGATACTGGCAAATGGGAAGAAAATGTTCAAAAGAGATAGGGAACAAAGGAGAAGGAAGACAGTAGAGACAAGAAAAAAAATGAAGCAAATATTTCTAAATAAGGAGGGGAAGAGGGAAGGAAGGGGAATGGGGTAAAAAGAACCAAGATAAATCATGTACAGGTACAAATTCTTTATGATGCAAAGTTATTATGTGTATCTAAAATGTACTAATAAAATCTTTTAAAATGCCAAAAAGAAAATCGTGGGTGCCAAGTATTTTGTCCTAACAAAGAAAGCGACTAATATCCAGTCACTCATGCTCATATTCACTTCTGCAACATCTACATTGCCTTTTTTAAACCCTTACTCCACAAACTGTGAGTACCTTGACAGGTTAGTTCTTATTCGGCTAATACTAAAGTAAACTTTTCTGAATGCATATTAATAACAAATCTAAGGGTTCTTTTGAATGCCGTTAATGAATTATCCAATGTGACTAAAGAATAGTATCAAACCTGAAAGGACCTACACAAATATGTATCAGAGAAAACCCATTGATTCATCTAAATTAAACAGGCTTTAAATCCATACTTCAACTAGAAATCCAGATTTTGTGTTGCTTGACTCTGATGCTGAGCAAACCCTTTTCAATGTGTTGTTTTCTTGAAAAGCTTCTTGAGGAAGCAGCAACCCATTTTTTTAAAAAATTTAACTAAAGGCAATTCTTGTATTCAAAACCTCAGATCCACAAATGGCTATCATTTGTGTACTGTGTATCTCGTAAACTGTAGGTAGGATAAAGAGCAAAAAACCAAACACAGGAAAAAAAAATCCAGTATTTTACAGTAATAAAGTAACCTCAGACCTCATTGTATAGTTTCTTCAGAAAATAAGAGCAGTAAAGCTTGCTTTAAATGGAGACGTTTTAAATTAGGATAAAGCAAAATTTAATATTAAGATTACAGAATCCAGTATCACAGGGAGAGGGAAGAAAGAGGAAAGAAGGTGGAGTGGAGGAGGGCAAGAAAAAATAAGAATGAGCAACTCTTTGTAGGGCTCTCACAGATTTCCTGCACACTGGTACAACAAATCCTTTTGGCAAAACCTACATGCTCTTCCTTCTTGGACATGTTCTAAGTAGCAACCTAAAACCTGCAAAAGGAGTTTGAAATTATAACCAAAAGAAAAACTAGAGATGTTCTGATCACTAAATTATGGTCCATCTAAGCTATAAAAGATCACGTAGTTACATGATAGAGCTCTACACCCAGTAAAAATGTTTGATACTAAAATACTCATGCATGTAACTATACAGATACATAAAATTATCCCATTTTTGCTCTAAAAAAGAATGAGAACCCATGCAAATAAGCCTAAGATCTAGAAAAAAACAAACTGGAAAGATGCTATATACAGGTATGAGTTAAAAAATACTTTTTACAAGATGATTTAAAAATAAGCTGAAAGATCCCTATTTCTTATTGTCATGATCTTAAATTACTTGCCATAAGCCTGTATTCATAAGCAAAATGGAGATAGAAATCTCTTCATAGAATTACTAAGAACTAAAATAAATGAAGTTAACTTACCACAAAGCAAATATATAATAAAAAGGTATTGTATTTCAATTTTTTTCAGACAACTCTTAAATGACACATGTAGACATGAAAAAATTGGCAAGTCTTCTTACAGTACTAGAGAAAACAAAAGGGAAGCCCAGCAATATGGTCTTCATAGATCATTAATACTGTTATTTATATACACTCTAGCTTTGAGATTTTAGTCAAGTTTACCCTAAGCCTTTAAAAAACAAGTATGTACATCAATGAATATACTACACCTAGAACTACACCAGAGAACTGCTTCATTCTATCAGTTTCAAGTCCTGTAGCCTACTCATCAATTAAGCACACATTTGATGAGAAACATTTACAAGGTCAATCATCCCTTCATTATTCATAAAAGAAACTGAAACCTCACTCCCATTAGAGGACTATTTTAAGATATGGCAAATATGCTATGGAACACTATGCAGGCTAATGAGGTCCACCTATCTCAATGCAGAAGAATGTTTACAATATACACAACAAAAATGCATCTTTGTATTTTTAAATATTAATAAGGGATTACAAAGACCTCTGAATATACCTACTAATAGTGGCTATAAAGAGGTTGCTCTTATTGATAGGATTGTTTTTTGTGTAGTTTGGTTTTCCAAGTTATTACTCTAATTTATATAAAAAACACCAGTCCAAAAACCAGTAAGATTAATACTCTCTAATAATACTGGTATTTTTCTGTGACCTTTAGTACAATCCAAATGTTATGCAAGATGTTTAAAGTAAAATAGAAACTACTTTTGGGGGAGGGATTAATTTAGTCTTTTTAAGGTACTTTTTAACTGAAAAATTTTTACATTTCTACTTTTAATGAAAAAGTACAAGACAAGGACCCATTTGAGTTATCTGTAATTAGTTACTAAGAGAAAAGCATTATATCACCTTGGCTTAGACTGCCATTGTTGTTCTGTTTCAAAAGGCCAAAATAGGACTGAAAGGAAAATTTTCTCAACCACACTATTACACAGATAAATTATCTAAAATGCAAGACTTTCTCTAACTGCAAAAGTTGTTTTTTCAGGTAAAATCTATACAGTGGAGATGTGGGCCTCAAGCCAATCCAATATCCTAAGGTCCACTTTCAACTAGCAAACTCATACATTTACAAAATCTAAAATTCAAATTCTCTCAAAACATAAGTACACTTTAAAGAAAAATAATAAGCCTACAAATCAAACACTGTCACAACTACTCAAGCAAAAGAACCATAAATGCCAAATTCTCAAATATCTCATTTCTTTAATCTTACTTTAAAAACAATCAGAATTTATGTTCCAAACCAACTTACAGGAGAAAAAAAACAATCAGTATATTCACAAGACTTGACAGCATTACAAATCTTAACTATTTGCTAGTTTTTTAAGAGAACTACACTTATCACCTTTAAAGCCCTTACCAACTACTTTCAGTACTTCCACCTTAAAAATACTATAAATACAAAAGATCTTCACATTACGGAGACAAAAAAAAGTTCATTTTTATTTGTTAATCTTTCAAATTAGAATCAAGTATAACATACTACAAACTAGATTCTGTTCCACCTGCTCCCCCTAAATTCTTACTAAATTTAAAATAAAATTCATATTCTCATAAGTAAAAGGATCAAAACAAAACCAGTATGCCACACATGCCAAAACTGTTCACATAAAACTGACAAGAGGAACCCAGGAAAGATTAAGACTATGCTTTTCCTCTCACTACCAGCCTAGATTACGTAACTTGTTATGACTAGACACAATAAGCATGAATATACCATGAGCGAAGCAGGTAGCTTTCCTAATTAATAAATCCTTTCACATGAATTCATTTTCCAACATTGTAAAAGCCACTATGATCGGAGTACAAAATGACAATCCTTTGGCAAGATGAATTTCAACTGATCCACTTAAGTACTTTCCCCAAAAATTAAATTCAAAGAGTAATACTTAACAATGAAAGATTTAACCAAATCCTCTCATACTTTCCAAAATGCAGGCCAAATTATCAAGTGAAGTAGCCCATAGTTTGTCTAGTACTAAAAAGAAACAGAAAATTAAGGAAACAGTATAACTATGCATTCAATATTACTTCAATGTGCAACAACTTCCACTTGCCATAAGTCCCTTTAAATATTTGTACAAGGCGTTAGCTATCCTTTAAAGTACTGAAGACCCAAAACCTAGCCTAACAATCTTGACCTCTCCCCTTAAAGCCAGAGCACTGACAATTACAGTAAAATTAGGCCTCAGAATTATACAGTAACAAGAACTAAAAAACAAGTCATTAATATTCTTTTATCTTAAAACTCAATCTTCTCAGAGTGCTTCTAAGTATTGTATTTAAGCTTCCAATTTCAAGTCAAATTTTTTATAACAAGAAATCAGCTTTAGAATAAGTACTCTGAATCCGTCCACGAGGTTACACATACTCTCACTCGATCATGTAAATAATTGAATTCTTTATTTGTAATATCCATAAACGTTGCTATCCTATATCTCTATTCAAGAAGGAAATTTTCTCCTATTACCAGTTTTGTTTTTATAAACAACTTGAATTCTATTGCATGAAAGGGCTACAAATATACATGTTTTAACCAAGCAGAATACAGGTACTTTGCTTTACAACTTGCACCTATCAGTACACATAGCTGGTTCATTAGTTGTCATAGCAATTTGGGGCCATTGCCCAAGCTATGCATAACAGTTTACATTTTTAAACCTCATGAAGGGCAAATGTGATAACTACATTCCTGCGAGGCCCACTTCAGTTACAAGTAAATGTGTAACTTCAAGTTTACACAGATCTTTGACAGCAAACTTCTACATCTGATGCAACTGTCCTAAACAATTGTAAACCAACTGTCTTCAACTATACTATCCTTCTGCCAGTAGAAGGTGCTACAAAGGATGGGAGAATTTTCATGAGATAATAGTTCAAAAAAAAAAAAACCTGTTTTAAACCTGCTCTGAAAGTACAAAAATGCATTTAGTGTAAGGGCGAATAATCCTTACTTATAATCAGTACAGACAAATCAAAAAGGGAAAAACTAGGCCATCTGAGAATTTTTCAACAGTTTATAAGAATGAAAACACATGCTTAACACAAACTATTTTTTAAAACTACACAGCATATTAGATCTAAGTAAATTATCATAGAAATAAATGACCATGTCAAGATGATAAACAAACTGCTTAGTACATACAATAGGTGGATGCACAGATACTAAGGATATTTAAAGCCACATCCACTTCAAAATTTTTGCCTGTAATGGTTAAAATTTAACATGCCACAAGTAGGGCGACAAGGAAAAAAACTCACACGACCTCCTAAGTTTCTCAAAGTACACATCAAGATTTAACACGAAATATCAACTAATATCCCTTTAAACGGTATAGAATGAATCCTAGGAAAAAAGTTAGACATGTACGGTCAAACACAATGATTTATTAAAAATAAAACGTAAAAATGATTTTTGTACATATGCTTCCAAATTTCAGGCATGGAATCCAAGTAGGTTTCGTAGAA